TCCATGCTTCGTTCAGTTACGTATTGCTAAGTTAGTTTAACATGCACTGGTATGGGGAGGTAGTAACTCAAACTAGTGGTTTCCGATAGAAATTAAGTTAAAAAATCGTCTGCATCATCTAAATACAGGGACCAGCCAAAACTTAAAATTTACCCATACAATGTGGTCCCTCGGTTACTTGAAATTTCTGTTAGCAATTATCTCCCCATAAGGATCTTTAATTCAATTAACAAACAAAACTAAGATTAGCGAAATCGCCTGAACATCACGCGGCTTTTGTTATGACATCAGCTGATGGGCTAGTCCACCAATTAAGTAATCTGTTCTGTTTGTTCATTTCCAGTGGAGTAAATATCAAAAAAAGTTCCCATAATATTTTTTGAATTTTACATTCAAATTATTGGTCATTCTGAAATTTAGTTAACATATTGATAATATACAGTATAGTGCAGTGTAGTGTTGATTTAAATAAAATAATCTTGAATTACACCTATGAACATAAAATTTTACTGAGTGAAATTACTGCATCAAGCATGGAGTCCCTAGAAAGGTGATTTCTCCTCCACCCCCACTTCTAATTCCATCATCATCATCAACCAAGACTTCATATACACACCTCCAAAGTAAGTGTACTTTACTGCATTTTTTTACTTTGTATGTACTTTTCTGTGAGCTGGAACAACTACCCAATATCACTGAAACAATGGATTCAGTTAACCAGACGACTCTGTGGAGACGAATTGTGTTACGTTAACAGGACCACTGTGTAGTCTATCTCGAATGTAAGCATCCAAATACTTATATTAGTTAAAGTACCAATTTACCTATTAATTAACCCCTTTAGCCCCAGGTCAGGTGCTGCTGGCAATAACCCCATGGGGATAAATTGAAAAAAATCAACTTTCCAAAATAATTATAAAAAAAAATGGTGGGAAAATAGTAGGACGTTCTGGAACATCACCCAGGACCAAGGGTTAATAAGCCATGATGGTACAGTATATCCCGGTATATCATCAAAACAATAAGCACTAAGTTGTCATGTTTACCTAACATCAGGCATTTTCAAAACAAAGTCCAGACAAATGTCATTGCTCTAAATGGACTGTAGCACCTGCATCTTCTAGGAGTAAGTGGTAGCGTCATTACCAAATGGCGGCCCTGTTTCTAGAGAAATAAACTTATCTCTACTATTATAGCAGGACTTTCCTTTTTTACAAATTATATACATTACAGGCTGCTGTCCTATTTCCATTCATTCTCCTCATTCACAGTCGATGCAGCGATTTCCTCGTTATCCAAGAACCACGTGATCATTAATTTATCTCGCACAACTGCTCACCAACAATGTCTTGTGTTGTAGAAAATGTCGTTAAGTAATGCCATATTACAGTTTATTGATCAGCCTCTGATTTATAACTCGAACTATTCAGTATTGAGTATTTCTGTAGATGTTTTCACTGGATAAAATAAGTGAAACCAAATTTTTTCTTTAAACTACAGCCCTCCCGACTTACGGCCGGGGTTAGGGACAAATGCAGGTTGTAAATCGAAATAGTCGAGAAAGTCGAAACTTAAATAATACATAGAAAATCTAAAATAAGTGTCTCTTTTTCTTCTCAGCACCACAAAACTCTCCTTTTAAGCTGGCCCAGCCATTTTAAAGTGAATTACAAACATAAAAATTTTCTCTGTGTACTGGCGTTGGGACTCGAAAATACGTAATTTGAAAAAAATTTTAGATGCGACTGAGGCAGGTCATAAGTCTTGGTGTTAGTGAAGTTGAGTAGGTCATAACTCAGGAGGCCGATATACAGAACTGTCTTGTTAAGTACTGCTGAGGTGAGCAAAGGACTCACAGTGTCATCATGTGGTTATTTTTATAACTTTGTAAATAAAAATGTATCTTGGCTTATCCTTTTTTTCTAGATTTTGTTTATTTTTTTTATTATTAAATATAGAACTGGAGTTGATTTTGAAATTATATTATGTATTGTAGGTTAAGGAGGTCAGTTATTACTCGTGAGCATCAGGAACATTGTATAGTAATGCAGCCTCATAGCCTAACATACAGTACATCTAGCTACTGAAAATATATCTTAAGTTTTTTCCGGCTGTGGCCTAAAAATACCAACACTGTTATTATTCTTGTTAGCTACATACCACAAACTTCATCAACAACAACTTGCTAATAAAAATTGTACTTTACAGAAACTGAAGAACCTTCTGAGGTATTTTTGAACATTAAAGTTAAACACACTTCTCTTTTATATTGTAAGCACCACAACTTATGAAAGGTTATTTGGGAACAAATTAATTGATTAAATGTGCCTCGACCAGCCAGGTGGCCGGCACCAGCAGAGACAGTT